AATTCTAGCAATGAAAACAGTGTGACAGACCTTGGCCTTTTCAGAAAAGAGATTGTCCTCAAATGATAACTCTAAGAAAACGTAGTTCTCCATAGGTAACTGTCTGCCTCTGGTTTTAATGTATAACTTGGAGCTTTTCATTTTCCCGGTAGACTATGGATTATTTTCTGCTAGATGCATTACGATGCTACTGGGTTACAGAAACTTTTCTATTTCTTTTCTGTCCCTTCACATTGACAATTTTTTTTTACTTTTTTCTTCTCAATTTAGCTTGTTAATACCATGTTTATTTCACATCTCTTTTTTTTTTAACAGGGCAACCACATTAAATTCAAAGAAAATTGAACAGGAAGCTATTATTCACTCAGAGATTTGGTTAGACAGCAAACGGGGCTAACAGGTAGCAAACCTTTCAGGTGAGTCAGGCAGATAAAGCTTTTTTGGCAGAATCTTTTTGGGAGATGGGTTACCAAAGTGCAAGGCTAGTTGGAGATGAAAGCCAGCAGCAGCCTTATTTCCCTAAAATATTATATTTGGACAAGGCAACTTAGAAATATGTCTGGGAAATCCAATCCTCTTGCTAATTCCATTCTATCTTAACTCCATTAGATTTTACTTCAGTAGCAGTGTTTTGTAGGACTTTGGATTTTTTTCTTGTCATTTTTGTCATTCACAGGATTAATATATTTAACAACATGATGAATTCTTTTAATTATTAGGGCATAGTTTTTATTTTACATTTACTTTCATTTTCATTAATGTTTTTTTCTCTTCTATTTGCTACTTCTCCTGAGTTGTCTGACTTCCTTTGTGCGTATTTTGCCATGCTTCCTCTTTTCTCTTCTGCTTTCCCAGAAAATCTTGCCAGTAGAAACTAGTAAGTCTAGTTGCCATCTATCATCGTTCACAAGTGCCCCTTTACCCCTTTTGCCCCACCCCCACCCCTCTGGTTACCACCAATCCGTTCTCTGTATCTATGTGTTTCTAAGCTCAGGGTTCCTCTCTAGGGCAATCTATGCCTCTGGTCCACATGGCCCTGTGGGAATTGGGGCTCGGTGAACTGGCCCATGAAAATGCTGATACTCTACCCACTGCTATTGCTATGAATAATCAAGTCCTTTGTTTCTGGGAAAAAAAAAAAAGAGATAAAAATTGTGTACTTTCAGAATAATCTTTATGCATTTATCTGGTATAAAAGGGAAATTCCATCATTATCACATACCCTTAGCTTCCTTTTGTGAGTTTAGATTTCACTGAAGACAGGTTCCAAAGAGGTAATACCAGGCACTGATTTTTTCTTAGGAGACTTAGCTGGGGTCCTATCACTTTCTGTCTCCTGAATAAGCTACCTGGAAGGAAGAGACTATTTTACACATTTCTCTTACACGCCCTACAATATCAATCACAGGGTTTCTCAAGGGTTCATCACCTGCATCAGATTTGCCTGGGTGCTGGTAAGAATGCATATTCATAGGCCCTACCCCAGGCCTATAGAGTCAGAATCTCTGAAGGAAGAGCTCAGGAGCCTGCAGTTTTATTTCTCTCATGTGTTGAACCTTCTCCTGTGCCGTAGCCTGAATTTTCAATCACCGCCCGGATATACTTACTTGAATGTATTTTCACCCCACACTCGCTCGACACATCCAAAACTAAACATCTGCTGGCCATCTCCAATTCTGTCATCACGCTATTATTCCTGGAGGTATCTTTGCAGTCATTCTTCTTTGTGTTCATCATTTTTACTTAACTTATTAGCCTTTGTGCTAAGCATGCGGAAAGACGGTGATGAACAAGACAGATATGGGTCATGCCCTCAAGGACTGTAAAGATTCTTTTACCAAGAGTAGTTTAATCCTCCTATTTCAAATACCAGCACGGTCACCCATGGTGGACAGGTTTCAGTGGAGTTTCCAGACTAGACAGAATAGTAAGGAGGACGTGGCCATCCACTTCCGAAAAAATTGGCTATGAAAACTCTGTGAATAGCAGTGGAGCGTTGTCTGATATAGCACTGGAAGGTGAGAGGATGGCGCAAAAAGACCAGGCAGGGTTCTGCTCTGCTGTGCACAGGGTCACTAGGAGTTGGAATCCACTTGACAGTAACACCAACAAAACTTAATCCTATAGATTCTTTTGCATTTTTCTCAGAATACTCCCTTACTTTCCTTGTCAGCACCCTAATCTAGAATCTCATCACTTATGCTTGGACTGCTATAATTTTTTCCTAATTAGTCTCTTTGCTTCTAATCTCCCACCTCTTCTGAAAGATTAATCTGCTGAAAACTTAATCTTCAAAACAACACTTTGAATATATTTTACCTCCTTATAATGCCTTCATTGTTTCCAATTGCTTATAGGCTATTTTCTAAAGTGGATTCAAGGCGCTTTACAATCTGGCCCCCAAATGAATTTTTACTGAATAAACTCTTTTACCTTATCAATTATAGAAATCTGAACCTCATGTAAGCATTTTTTCTTACTTATTTTCTGGGCTCATGACTTTAATTACACTTTCTGTTTGACCAAGCTATACTTTTCAGTTAAGGCCTTCCTTTTTCCCCCACCAACATGGCTGGCCCTTAGCACTTGTTCTTGCTTCAGTTCCTATGGTGAGTCTCTGCTCTCATTGAGCATTTAGCATGTGCTCTAACATTACTTATCTTTTTATGTACTTTTCTAATTCTTCAATTATTTCATAAGCTTCTTGAAGTAAGAGCAACGTTTTTTATACTTCTTCATCTCTTCCTTGCCTAGTCCAGGCCTACGTGTAGCAAATGTTCAATAAATATTCATTTATTTACGCATTTTTTCATCAAAAAATTATTGAATGCCCACTGAGAACTAATATTGTTCTTTCTTTCACGGAGCTTACAGTTTAGTTGGAAAGACAGACATTAAGCAAATAATTAAAATAAAAACGAGATCAACTGCTTTATTCAGTTATTAGTCAAGAAATATTCAATAAGGACCTATCATAGGTCAGGTATTGTGTTACATGCTGGGAATACAAAGCTGAAGCTGACAGGCTAGTGGAGGAGAATCATATATACATCACTAAAACACAATGTTTTAAGTGCAAACAAAATATCCTAGGAGCACAAATGAGAGTGCAACTATCTCTGCCAAGGACTCAGTAGGGCTTCACATTTCAGTATGGCCTTGAAAGTGAATTTAAACAAGGAGTTGGATAATGTAATATTTATACAAGGAGGGTGGTTCTTGGAAATCTGATAAGCCCATTTCTATATCATTATTTTGAGCAGAAACCTGAGCTGGAAATATGAGGGTGAGCAGTTACAGCAGAGTTGAGGATGATGGCAGCCATATGACAGTTCACTGCTCAGGTGAATGGCTAGGTCTTGTTGCTGGGCCTTCATCTAGGTCCTTCCCCGGCCCTGGCCCCTCAGCATGGATGGACCTTCCTAGGGAAAGGCCCTAGTTGCCCCTGTATCTTCAATACCCGGGACAGAATTAAATCTGGCATCTCTCCCTCTAAGAATCATGGAAATGATAGAGTTGGAAAGGATACTGAAAATCACCCAATTCAGTTGTTTCTAATTTACATCCCCCAGAATCTCAAAATGGTAAATGAAAATCTGTAATCAACTTTCAATATTCCGAAAAGCCTACCAGAAATTGCACATTTTCTGGTGGTATTTACTGCCAAGTTTCCTTGTTTTGTGGTAGAATTATATCAGATCCAAATTAAACCGAGGTTCTGACGGAGCTGTGTTCTGATTAAGTATAACTTGTTTTCCCATTATTGTTATACTTAATTTGGTACAATGTCTGCAATTAACAAAGAACAACACTGACTTCATCTTAATTTACTCCTCACAATAACATGGAATGTCTTAAAAACACCAGAGCCTGAGTCCTTGACTCTCAGCCCAGCGCTCTTTTCAACTTCTGGGAGTTTCTGGGTTCTTTCCGAGTGTCCCAGTTTACAGAGCCTTCAATTCCGGATTCGGAAGCACCTGTCCTGCCGTCTCCACTGGGACACGCTGCCCATCTGTGTCCACACCGACTGCTCCCTCCTCACGTTCCGGAATGCGGCTCGCCCTCACGCATGCGTAGTACGACCACTCCGCGCCGGCGCCGCTCCTCTCCGCCTGGAGGGGGACACTGGGTAACCCGCGAGGGTAGGCGCCCAGGGCGCGCGTGCGCAGGCGCTTTTTGAGCGCTCCCCATCTCCGCTCCCTCCCCCAAACCACTCCGCCACCTCTGCCATTCATTCCATCCCCCGCAGCCCTTTCACCCATTACGACGGCCTGCCCTCCGGTACGTCACGAACGAAAACAGGTCTCGGCAAGGGCGGCTGTCGTTGCCAGGCCGCCGCGGCCGCTGAGGGCGCGCCGTTCGCGTCCGAGCGCCGCCCGGGCCGCGTCTAAAGTTGTATCCCCCGCCGC